CTTTTTAATCGTAAAAAATTAAAACACCGCCATTAGTGTAGTTCAAATCCTCGTCGACTTTTAAAAAAAACGACAAAGCTTTTGAAAATTTCTCAATATCACACTCCAGAAGGCAATCATTATTAATTTTCCACACTAAATAAGACAGTGTTAATTTAAAATATTCAAACGATTTCAAAACGTCAAAATCTTTATCAAATACTTTTTCAATTTTCCATTCCTTGGAATCGTCAATGAGCCAGGATGCCAAAAGTTTTTTTTCCGGGCAATCGACGAACACATCGAAATTTTCCGACGATAATGTTTTTTCACTCCAGCATTTTAAATATTTTATAATATTTTTTCCTAAAATTTTCTTGAATGGTTTACAAGACAAATAAAAATCATTTTCAGGATACCAGTGTTGAAATTTGAGTAATGCGTTACACATGTACAGTGTAAAAATGTTTTTTTTTTCGGAATCAGTTTCCGAATTTTCGTGATAATCATTTAAAATATTTAGGCATTGATTTAAAAATGGCGACATTGAAATTTGTTCCGTTTTCGATTTTTCAATTAATTCACCTGAAATTTTACACGACATCAAATTTTTTAACTTTTACAATGAATAAACAATGAAAAGTATAAAAAACACCATAATTTAATAATTGAAAACAATTTTAATAAAAATAAGCGTGTACCTTGCAAGGAATTATTTTCTTTTAAACACAATTCCACTGATTTAATTATGTTTTCTATAACAACTTGTCGATGAGCTGGGGAAACCTCTAGAAAACTTAACAACCAAATATCCACTTCCCTTTTACTTTCGTTAAAAAAATTTAATGTAGACAAAATTTTACAAGAGAAAGATAAAGAATTATCTTTGGAAGAATGAAGTAAAATCGAGAGCGAAGTTTTAAATAAATCCTAATAAAAAATTTTAATAAAAATTATAAATAGTATTTTAAAAATCAAAATTTAAATATGAGAATAAAATTTGAAGTTTACCATATTGGAGGATAATAACTCGAGATCCTTTTCAGCGAATAATACTATTTCTGACTGCACATCGATAAAAGTATTCTCATCAACCATATCTTTAATTTTATTCAAACTGCTTAGTAAGTTAGATATTAAGTCAATAATTGATTCTATAGAATTTTTTTTGCATTCGATAATCATTTGAATGATTTTTAAAATGACTGGTAAAAAATTAGGTATGTCATCAGACGATAAACCAATTGAGGAATCATTACAGCATATGGTGTTCCATAATTCTACTACATTGTCGACACTTGGCAAAAACTGTAAATATAATAATTAAAAATTATAAATAATTTAAATGTTTAAATATAATAACTTTATGTAATGAATTAAATAATAAAATTATTATCAGTACAATTTAAAACTCGTACATACCTTAGAGATAAAACCGTAAACTGATTTTTTTAATCCGGTATGATCAGTTTGGAAAACTGTAATAACTCTCTGAGCAGAATCAAACATTGTCAACAACAATCTAAGAGACCACATACGAACTTGTATCGACTGAGAATTCTCAATACCAGTTTGAGCAATTCGAACTAAAGTTTTTGGTGTGCATAATGTTTTAATTACTTTAGATATAAAATTTAAAGACTGTTCACTTTCATTTAATAACAATTGAGCAACATTTAATTCTTCAATTAACTAAAAAATATCGTCCAAAAACTCTCATATAATATTCAATTTAGGATATTTTAAAAAAGCTAAACTTTTAAACAAATTATTCAATAATACTAACTCTTTTTGCAAAATCTATCGCTTCAAACCAATTTTTTGAATCCCTTGGTAAAAAAAATGGCTCTAATTTATGCAAAGTTGGACTAATTAAATCAGGACAATTTATTAGTGTTTGCAAAATTATTTCAGCTGTTTCCGAATTGCTTAATGGATCAGAAAGACTCTGAAAAAAAATGTTTTATAAATGTTTTTTCAAGACACAAAATATTAGCGAATATTAAAATTAACAAAACTACCTCAAAACTGAAAGTAATAATTGATTGTTTGTAGTGTTTGTTGTACCTAAAGATTTATCGGAAAATGCAACTCCATATTTTTTCGATGTACAAAGTAACAGTAGAAACGAATGTGCACTTTTAACTACCATTAATTTCTCTTTTTCATTTATTTCTTCCACACTGTGTTTCTTCTTAATCCCTGCAATATACTTTTTAGAGACTTGAGGCCCTTTCCAATCAAATAAATCAAATAATGATTTTACAATCTAAAAGAATGTTTTTTTTATTGCTGTTAATTACCTTTTATTTTTTTATATTTATTATAAACATAATAATATTTTTTAAAAAATCTTTATCGCATACCTGAGTATTGAAAACTTTTAATTTTAAAGATTTTGTAATTTTATCATTTTTTATAATCTTATTTTCTATTAATGAAAGAATTAAATTAATTGTTGAAGCATCGTCAAATTTCATTCCAGGGATAATCATACTTAAAAACCCTAAGAAATAAATAATTTATGATTATAGTAAACATACAATTATTTTATTTACTTAATATTTAAAAAATAAATAATTTAAGTACCTTTACTGTCCATTAATGTCTTCAATACAGTAAGATTTCCATCTACTAGAAAAGAAAGGACAAATAAAATAAAATATTTTCTAACTGATTCTTTTTCATGAGAATGAACTACTAATTCCGCTTTCGATGCTAGAGACGGTGAAAATAAATTTAAAACTTCACAAGCAAATGATGAGTGTAAAGTCACCATCTCAGTAAGTAGTTTTAAAGCAACCTCAAAAAAAAATCGAATAAAATAAAAATATTGTAAATTTTTATAGAGTAATTCATATCATAATTTTTTAATTATTCAGATCAGTTTATTTTGACTTACCTTTTTATGTTTGTTTGTATTCATAGCTAATAAGGATTGTATTATTGGAAAATGTGTACTAAGAATAGAATTAGCTGCTTCCATGCATTGTTGATAATACTTTGAATCTGAAGAATGAAATCTAAAATTATAAAAAAAATTTCATTACTGTGACTTTTAATTAATAAGTAAAAAAATAGACTATTGTACCAAATTATTATTAATAAATTAATTCAGAACGATTAAAGTTTAAAACCGATTAGAAATTAAATAACTATTTAAACAACTAGTTTTATAAATTTAAAAATGAAATATTACATGTGATAATATTAATAAGTAATAACTGCAAAAAAAAATTATATTTTAAATTTAAATAACCTTAAAAAAATTAAACTGACTGCTTCATATACAAGTAGAGCAGTAGTCAAATCTCCTGTGGCAGTACCATCCATTAATGATAGTATTTCTGATAAAGAACCTCCTTTACTCATATATTCATAAATTAAATCTTCATCATTTCGAGCGGCAGAAATAAATTTTTTAAGACCTGCATTAAAAATATTAAATTAAAATTAAAAACGAATGTATTTATTACAAAAAAAAACAAAGAAAATACGAAGCGTTCTATACTTTTTAAAGCTTCACTCCCTTTTAACTCTTTTCTAAATAATTCAGTACAAAAATATTTAGCTTTTTTTGCTTTAACTCCTTCTTCACTATCATCCATTTTGGAAGGTAATTCAAAAAATTAAATGTACAAACGTTAATTTGTTAAATTTGTAAAATTATTAGTAAAAATAATCCTTTATTCACATTAAATTATTAATTATTAATTTATTAATCGAATTCATTTTTTTTAATAAACACTCACGAATACAAAATTAAAAAAAAAAAAACGAGACATTTTAAAAAAAATGCACGTGTTTAATTTTAACGTGGAAGTAGAATGCGCGGTAACGTGTTAGAATTACGATAACTTTTAAAATTATGACTGACTATATAAATTAACCTGGATTAGATAGACATAATATTAAATTAAGTTTAAATGGAAGAATGATTTAGTATTTTTGTATTGAGTATTATTGCATATTTTTTTTAAAGGAATGCAAAGAATACCTAATTTAAAAGTTGAATATAAATAATTTTTAAATAATCACTTCAATATATAAAATAAAATTAAGGAAAAAATAATAATTCTAGTTATTTTAAATTAACAATTATTATATATATTTTAATGCAACAAATAAAGCGTTTTTTTAAAATAATACTAATTTTAAAAGGTTTTTTTTGAAATTCCTTCATTTACAAAACTTTAAGATTCTAAATTGAATAAATAATGTGAAAAATATAAAATATTTTATGCACAATACATATCTCATTCAAAAATTATTTAACATTTTAGTAATAAATATTTGCTTATTAATGATTTAACATCTATTTTTAAATACAAAAAAATAAATAAAGCACCAGAAATATTTTATTCTGAATGTTGTGTTGTTTGAGCTAATTGTTTTAACTGTTTTAAAACTGTATCGAGCAACTTTTTTTTGTCTCTTTCACTTTTTTTTAATACAGAAAACAAATTTTTATTGTCAGTCAGTTTTTCTAATATTATTATAGCTGTGTTTGGATTTATATGGCTGTATTTACTATTTTCCTGTCCATAATCGTGAAAGTAAGCTGACCAGTCCCAAGCCATTAACAAATCTAACAGTTGTCTAAGTTCAGCAAAATATTTTAGCAATACTCCTTCTTCTAATCCAGGAACTGGATCTGATGCTGCAAATTGTTCACATTGAATAGTATCCAAATTTATTTGTTGTAATGCACCCATTGTCAATTGTTTAACATTATCGGAAAGTATAAATCCCATTAAAGACTTTGCTATGTGTTCACAAGCTGCTTTACAAGATTCTTGAGCTACATGAACGGGAACATTTGTAAATGATGAAAAAATGCTTTGCAGAAAAGCGATTAAATCAGTTATGAAGTTAGATGCATATCCCTGAGGTTCTACAAGTGACCAATTATAATTTTCAAGCTCCAAAAATTCATCAATTTTTTCTTTTAATTTTAAAGATATTTGTTTCTCAGCATCATTTTTTGCAACATGAAACATTGCTTGCTTTCTTACAGCAATATTTTCTTCCCTTTGACACCCTGTCAAAGTACAAATAAATTCATCGAGAAAAATTGCTGCTTTTTCTAAATAACCTATGTCAATAATTATTTGAACAACCTGCAAGAGGCCTAAACCAGGTTTCCTGAATAATGAAAGCAAGCTACCACTAAAAGTCCTGGTTAACAACAAAGTTGTTGATTTAATAACCATATCATTGTTAGTGGCTTGACTAATATGAAGATCTTCAGAAAATTTTAAACAAGCATTAATATACTTTTTTACTTGGTTATACACATTTGGAACCATTTGAGAAAAGGGTAATTTTCTAGGAAATTTTAAATTATTCGCTGTATCATCTTGAAAAGGAAAAGATTCCATTATTTTGTCATATTCCACTTGATTGGATATTTGAATAGGAGAAAAAGTTTCCTCATCCAGAATTTCTCTAAAAATCATAACCCATCTTTGCATTAAAACTTCATTATAATGATCCCTCATCTCATGTAATAAATCATATAATTGGTTAACAGAATAACCATAATTTCGTAAAGTAGTGCTGAAGAGCATAATTAGATCTTTGATTTTTAACATAAGAGCAGCATCTGTGCAATAAGCCGAATTAGTCCTTAAAGCATTCACAACTTTGGATATACCCATATTCCAGACATCGTCTAAATAAATTCTATTAACTAAAGTTCCTGCAGTATTCAATATATGGTCTTCAATTACAAAAAAGCCAACAACGGAATGAATATAATTTTTATACCCAATTATGTTTTCATGCATATTGGTGGGAGGTTGAAGAACAAGTCTTGCTTGCTGTTGTCTTTGATTACGATAATAACTAATGAATGTATCTTTGGCATTTGAAACAGTATAAATATGAAGGCACCTATAAACTGGAGAAAAATCAATCAGGTCTTGGGCACTAAGATCTTCTTCACTATCAAATGCATTCTCATAAGCTTTTCCAGGGCCAGCTGAAAAAATTAATAAAAAAATTTTTTGAAATAAATTTTTATGTTATTTTTAAATAAGCATTACATCATAACTTTATTAAATTGCGATACTTACCCAATCTGTGATTAATATTTTCTTCTTTATTATTTGTTTTGCTATGATCAGATATTTGTTCTAATGTATGTCTCATGGCAACTTCTCCAATTTTCTGTGAAAATTTTCTGATATTTTCTAAAAAATCTTTTAGGTCACCCATTGCAGCATCTTTAATGCTATCTCGCAAGTGAGGAATGCTTTCTCTTATTTTTATAGAAAATCTGTAATTGGCAATTCTGGGAAGATGAACTTGTTCTAATTGATCAAGTGTTTTAAGTGCTGGATAAAACCTTTTTTCTTTCATTTGTTTTTGTAATTTTATATAAGTAGTCAAAACTGGCAGACAAAGAGTTAAATTTTGAATAGCTGCTGCAATATATTTTTGCGTTTTTCTAGCCTTGACTAATTCCATTCCTTTTTCAATTACACGGGATGCAGAATTTTGAAGTTGCTTATCAATGTCAATCAATTCTTCATTAAGTTTATGTACTTGTGTTTTTAATTGAAAGAGTTTTATTATTGATTCAATAAACCCTTGATAATGGTAATTACACATTCTTTCTATATCTTTATCATGACTTTTAATCCGGGCTTCTAAATTTTCCATAAATTTTTCATGATCATCACCTTCGTAAACCGAACGAAAAGTTGGAGCCCAATATTCATCTACACCTTCCAAATCCACTAAAAAATGTTCTAGACGTTGAGTTTTATCGAAGGAAATATCCATTGTGATTGCAAAAAAATAACTATATAAGTAAAATAAAACTCTAAAGATGGTATAAATCCTTAGAATACTTTTATGATTAATAAATATTTAAACAAATTTTTTATAAAACATAATATTAATCAAAATTCCGTGACACTAACATAAACTAAAATTGTCGCACACCCACTAAATTAAATTTTAGGTCTTATTACCAACCTTCAATTAATAAAATTTTTTTTTAAGCCACAAAATTTATTATTTTTTTTTAGATGATTAAAATTTATTACAAAATTGTAAAAAATCAATTTTTTACACCATAATGTGGTAATTAATTGAATGTACTTAAAAATTTTCCTCAGTAAATATTTTAAAATTTAATTTTTAAATTATTAAATGAAATTACAAATGTGAAGTGTGATTGTGATATTGGTTGTCTCATAATTAATAGTATTTTCATTTTATTTAATTAAATGCTACAAAAAAATTTAAAAATTTCTATTTTTTTAAATGTTTATCAACAGCTGAAGATATACTTATAATTTGTCAATTTTTATTTTGAAAAGAAAACAGTAGCAAAGGCAAAATGAGCACAACAATAAAATAATAATGAAAACATTATTAACAAAGTTATAATTTCATAAAAATTGAAACACGAATTCAATAATAATATGTTATCTGTAAATAAAACACTTTTTTAGTTTACTTCCTTCATGCTTGGAAAAATTGTTTTTCGAACATTGGTCCTAATATAAATTGATCGATAAAAAAATTATGCATTTAAAAAATTTTATAAAACATATCATATCTGAAAGATCATTTAATTATTTAAAAGAGCATTACAAAGTTTACAAATATTTTAATTATTTTGCTGTTTTTTTAAATATAAGCGATTAAAAAAATACAAGATCACAAAATATATATCAAGCACAACTAAAAAAATAAAGCAATAAAGTAAACAAAATAATAGTCTGTAAACAATTGTATGTATCTAATGTGTGCATATTTGAAATGAAAAGTAACAATGTACAAAGCAAATAATTATTCTTAAATTAATTACAAATTATTTTGTATTAATAAAAAAAAAAACATGTTTTGTTCAATATTATATATTTTAACTATTATCTGTTATTTCCTCATTATTCTCATTATCTAAAAATTCTACATGTGTAAAAGGAAAATGTCCATATTTTCCATTTAATTCTCCCTCCCATTGACCATTTATATTCATTTTTGTAACAGTGATAGTATCTCCAATTTCTAATTTTAGAGCAGTTTTGTCATAAGCATTTGGCACTCTAGCTTGTTTAACTCTAGCTAATGCAGGAAGTTTTCTTTGAATATTTGCTTTTTTCGAGGGCTCAGAAGGTACGGCAACTAAATTCCCACTGCCAGAACTTGGTCTATGGCCATCAGTTATGTAAGGTTGATTTTCTTCATATCTTTGAATATAAGGTACAGGAATGGAACCTGTTTTTCCTAAACTATTTCTAGCAGTCCACCATTGGTCCTCATCTTTTGATACTATTAATAAAACTTCTCCTTTTTTAAAAGGCAAATCATCTGGATCATTTCCATCAAAATCATATTTTGCTATAACTTTTTCAACTCTTTTAGGAGCTGGCTTTATAAGAGGAGTTGTATCTAAGTAGTGTAGTTTATAAAATGTAAGCAGACTAGGTAAATCAGGAAACTTTTGGTCTCCTATTCTGTATATTGTTTGCTCTCCTTGTTGAATTTTATTTATAATATAATGGCTAACTTTACTGTCTTCTCTAACACATAAGACATAATCACCAGATATAGATATTGAATCTCTAATTAAAAAAACTCCACCTTCTTTTTCACTCATTAATAAATCGGTGGCATCTTGCCTTGACATTTGGCCAAAGTACCAACTTGTTCGATCAAATGGATCAAATGTTGAAGCCATTTTAAAATGTAAACATGAAGTTTTTTTCTACAATTCCTAAAAAAAAAAAAAAAAAACCAAAAAATGAAATATTTATTACAATGAATACAAATATAAAATTTTAAAAAATTTTATTTGTTTTTTGCAACAAGACGATTCTAATAAGGTTAAAATTCTTTTCAGAACCTCTGATTATGAAGATTTTCAAAAAAAAAAAAAAAAAAATTCTCAATATATGCATATAGAGACAGGCAAAAAAATAAGGCAAGTAAATAATGATAAATGGTGAAAAGTGCAGAATTGTTTTCATAACTATTGACTGATGCAAGATATTTTTAAATTTGAAAAGCTGTAAATTTTGTATAAAATTTGTTTACATACTACTTTTATAAATTCAAATTTAAATAAATACTTTTGCAAATATCAAATTCAAATAAACTCTTGAATATATAATTTTATAAATAATAATAAAATTCACCAAATATAATAACTTTATGTGTATCTTGTTTTAAGGGAATAATTTGAAAATAAAATTCAAAAACTTACTTTTTTAAAAGTACTGCTGAAATCACTTAATTTTTACATAATTGAAATGATTATTTAAATTGAACATTAATTTATAGGTTTAACATAAAACCACGTAAGGGGTAGGAATATATTAATTTTGTTTAATAACTCCTCCCAACATCATAACTCAATGCGGTTTTTCCCTTAAAAGTTAAAGACTAATTTTTGCAAACTTTATAATTGATGTTTGTACAATAAAAGTAACGAAAAATTTTTAGAAATATTTTTTATCATGGTATTATAAATGCGACTCTACTCTTATCGCACTTGTAACCCATTAACTACAATTAAATGCTTCAATAAAAATCAACTAATGCTACCATTAAATATACATTTGTACCAACTAAAAAATAAAACAACACTGAACAAATTAATTATATCACCGTATATATATTTAATTACTCGAAAATGTGACTATTGTTTTATTTGCTTTCAAAAATATAAAATAAATATTTTTTCAGCACTAAATAATTTATTTTTTTCAAGTTGCTTTGAAAAGGTACAGTATAGCCATATTTTATGAATACATCTCTATGATAAGTTTGATATTATTAATTACTAATGGACTTCGTGAATGCTAGCAAAATATTTAAAATTTTTACAATAGCATATTTTCTTAAATATGCTGAACCGGTATTCGCTTTAAAATTTTTACATTATAGCGAATCGAGAAAAATAATAAGAAAGCTTTGTTAACATTTAAATTATTATTTGTAATAAATATTAAATATATGTAGTATTACATGTAGTCGAAAGTTAAATTACTGTGAATAAGATAAATAATTTGACAACCATTTGAGAGTGACGTGGCTAGTGTTTTTTATTTAGGAAATTACTTTACGCCTCCAAAATTTATATACGTTAGTACATTTTCTTGTTAAATAAAAACAAATAAATTAATTTTTTTCATCTTTTTAAATGACTAAATTTGATAATAAGTGTTATTTATAAATAAATTGTTTACTACTACAGGTGAATAATGAAAATCAAAGGGATAGATCGTACGGCAAATATTGCCTGGTCGCCTCAACATCAATATCCAATTTATTTAGCTGTTGGAACAGCAGCACAGCAATTGGACGCCTCTTTTAGCACTACCGCGGCACTAGAATTATTTAGCCTGAATCTCAATGACCCAGGATACGACTTGGGATTAAGAACATCGGTTCAAAGTGAACATCGTTTTCATAAGTTAGCATGGGGTACACAAGGAACCATTGTAGGTGGTTGTGATGGTGGAGTGTTACAAATTTATAATGCTAATAAATTACTTAATGGAGAAACAGGTTTAATGTCTCAACAAAACAAACATAAAGGTTCTGTAAGAGCTTTAGATTTCAATTCATTTCAAAACAATTTACTTGCATCTGCTGCTTCCGAGTCTGAAATATATATCTGGGATTTAAATAATCCTACAACTCCGATGACTCCTGGTTCCAAATGTCAACCATTGGAAGATATTACTTGTGTTGCTTGGAATAAGCAAGTTCAACATATTTTAGGATCTGTTTTTCCCACCAAATGTGTAGTTTGGGATTTAAGAAAAAATGATCCAATCATAAAATTAACTGACAATACAGTTAAAACAAAATGGCATGTCGTTGCTTGGAATCCCGATATTGCAACACAATTATGCTTAGGTTCTGAAGATGATCAAAATTCAGTAATACAATTATGGGATTTAAGATTTGCAACATCTGCTCTCAAAGTTTTTGATAATCATCAAAGAGGAGTTTTGTCAATTTCTTGGTGCCATCAAGATACAGATATGTTATTAAGTTGTGGTAGAGATAATAAAATAATTTGTTGGAATCCTAGTAATAATTCTCCAGGTAAAATGCTTTATTTACTTTTAAACAAATTAAATTATAATATTATAATATTATCACATAAAAAAATATTCAAGAGTTGCACAATGAAAATAATAATATTTTATTCTTTTTAAATGCTGTAAAGTAGTTTTCGAATTAAACATTAAAAAATCGCCTATGATAAGTTATTATATTTTGGGTTTATAAATTCAAATACTTAAAAATTATTCAATTAATTAACTACCAGTAGTTTGACAACTAATTCATTTTTATCTAATAATGTTACAAATGTTATAAGTAAAAATTAAATTTAAAATTTTTAGGAATGGATATTAATTGTGAGTTTATTTTGACAAATCAATGGAATTTTGAAGTGTCATGGTGTCCCAGAAATCCTGCAATTTTTGCTAATAGCAGTTTTGATGGTCACATTAGTATTTATTCATTATTGGGTGGACCGCAACAAGTTCAAACAAGCAATAAAATAGCTGACTCTTTTCCTGGAATGGAGCTTTATGCACAAGCTCCCATCGGGCAAACACACTCTGCTCCAATTCAGCTCAAAAAACCTCCTAAGTGGTTAAAAAAACCTGTCGGTGCTAAATTTGGTGTGAGTAATAATAATAAAGAACACTTAATATTTCTTTTTAAAAAAAAAAAATAAAGTTCCTGAAGTAATTTTTAATTTTATTTTCTTTTAAAATATGTAGTTTGGTGGCGTTTTAGTATCTTTTGAAAATGATGCGAGCACAAATTCTGAAATGCCTATACCAAGATTAGTTCATATAAATCAAATTATTACCGAGGAGAAACTTGTCTCTAGATCTTCTCAATTAGAATCTGCACTTCAAAGTGGTCAACTCATTGAGTTTTGCCAAAATAAAGTCATGAATAGCAATTCGGATCATGAAAAATTGCTTTGGCAATTTTTAGGAGCTTATTTTGAAGCATCTCCCAGATCAGTGTTTTTAAATTTATTAGGATTTCAAGGAGATGAAATAGATAAAAAGCTATCATCTGCATGTAATAATGTCAACGAAGAAGATTCAAGTGAAATTTCAAAAATTACCAATAAATTATCGGAACTTAATAAAAATGTAAGTATTTGTCATTTTTCATTATTGAACTGATATTTTTTGTTAAACAAATTGTACTTGAATACCAAACTTTTTTTTAAAAGTAAATTTATGACTGCTTGGGTTTTTTAACCACAGTCTTTTAAAGTAGTTCGAAAGAAATAACTTAAAAATGAATTGAAAAATAGATTTAAAAAAAATAGTTTTTTAGAAATTAGACCATAAAGTTTCTTTATATCACAAAATATTGATTCTTTTAATCATTTTTTTGTTTTGATAATTTATTTTTGTTTTTCTAGACTGATTCTGCAAATGAGTTAGATGATTTTGATAATATTGGAAATTCTCAAAATTTCAGCTTGGTAATTTTTTTTTTTTTTTTATTTAAATTTTATTTGAGTAATTTTTTATTTTAATTTTTTTTCTCTTTTGTTGATTGAAAAATTGATTTTTTAGGATAATGGTTTATTGAATGTGGAACAAAAAGTATCGAGTTGTAATGATATTAGTTCAGCAAATAATTTTAAAATTTCAGCTGGAGATGATATTGATGGTTTGATTTGTCAAGCTCTTCTATTAGGAAAATTGGAAGCTGCTGTACATTTATGTATACAAAGCAATAGAATGGCTGATGCAATCATTTTGGCCATGACGGGAGGTAGCGAGCTTTTGGCTAAAACTCAATACATTTATTTTCAGGTATGAATTTTAATTATTTAATTACCATAATTCTTAGTGTAGAACAGAACAATTATAAACAAACTCTTTTTTCCAAGTTTAAAATACTTAACATTATTATTAAAAAGTTTATAGATGGGTTATTGTTATTCAAAAGTTTTTTTCAATTCAACACTTTTGTTTTAAAATTAAAATCTTTTTTTTTTTTTTTATTTTAATTCAAGAAAAATAAGGGGCATCTTTCAACTCTAATATCTGCTGTTGTCACTGAAGATTGGTCGCAGGTTATAAAAAATTGTAATATTGAAAGTTGGAAAGAGGCTCTTGTTGCCGTTATTACTCATGCAAATGATCAAGAATTCACCGTTTTGTGTGAGACACTTGGTGAGAGATTAGAAAACGAAAACAAAAACAATTTGAATGAAAAAGCTGAATTGTGTTATATTTGTGCTGGTAATATTAGCAAAGTCGCCACGTCTTGGTTAAGAAGAGAGAAAACATCTACACCTGATAGTTTACAGGTACAATTTTATATATAATATAGAGTTTTATGAAAAAAAAATGTTGACTATTAAAGTTGAAAAAATATTTATCATTACAAAATTTAGTTATATCTAAAGTACTGAAAATTATTGAATGACATTTTCGCAGGAACTAGTTGAGCTTATAATGATTTTGAAAAGAGCCATGGAGATGCAAGGCATTCATGTGGAAATTTCCGGGAGACTAGCAAACTTGCTCACCAATTATGCTGGTATTTTAATATCTCAAGGAAATATTGAAGCAGCTCTTTCTTATTTACAAGATTCTAATGAGGAATCAATAGTAGAACTCAGAGACAGATTAAACGGTTCTCTCGGACGAAGTTACAAGGTTAATTTTAAATAATTTTTCTCACCGTGAAAATTTAAATTTACTTTATCGTTAATAAGGTATACTTTTTTTTTTTTTTTTAACAGTACGCATCGTCGTCTCAAAAACCAACATCTAGTCAAGGACAAATAAAGAGAACCAGAGCGATTTCAGGTGGATTTTATCCTCCTCCTGGAGTTCAGGAAGAGGCTATTACTGCTGCTCCTATCTCTCAGCATAATTTTAATTTAAATCCCTTGCAATCAAATCCATCTTCTATTCCTAACAGTTTTTCGGGTACTCCTTTTGTTCCGGTTCCGCCAATGGCTCCAACTTCAATGTCGAATATGACTCACACACCGATTCCTCCTCCAGCTAGAGCGTACCCTTCGCCTAGTCCAGGACCAGGTAATTTTAAAATATCATTTAAAATGCAACAAAGTGTATAAAGTTTTTTTTTTTTTTTTTTTTTAAAATAATTTTATTTTTATAGGTGGTTTAGCAACTCGTGCGAAACATGTTTTAGATCCATCCGTTCAATCAGCCACTTCTCACTCAAATTATTATCCCCAAACTCAATATCAAACTCCAATTTTCACTCCCCAATCATCATCTATGTCTAACCCAAATTATAATTTGAATAATACGGGATATCCGTTAGAGGCTTTTAATCCACCAATGTCCAATCCTACGCCACCTCCATCTATGAATTTGTCAAAAACTACAAGTGTGCCCCAGCCTCCAGGTTGGAACGATCCGCCGATCGTTGATTCCAGTAAAAGTTTTGTAAGTTTACATTTTTATTTTATTTAAATTTATACAAACATAATCAATAATTTTAATTTTAATAAAAATTGCAAAGTATACTTGCATTTAAGAAAAATAATTATTAAAAAAAAAAAAAAAATACATAATTCGTCCATTAGTAATCTAAAATATTGGGATAAATTTAGTTTTTTTAATTTTTAATTTTATCTGCTTTTTTGCATAATAATTTCATTTGTTTAAAAATTTTCCCTTTCTGAAAAATGTTCGTATTTTATTTAGTCTTATGGATCTGTCTGTGAAATATCGGCCGAACATGCAGGTACAAGAAAATGGAAATCCGTCATGTTAAGAAGTAAACCGGTACTCGGGGGGGATTTTTTGTCTATTTTTTTTTTTTTTTTTTTTTTTTTGGACGTTTTTCAGTTTGATTGATTTTTACAGAAAAAAAAAAAAAAAAAAGAATTATAGGACTTAAATGACAGTTCATATAATTATTTATTAATTTTTTTTTTTTTTTTTTTTTTACTTAAAAAGAAATGATTTAATTAATAATAAATAAATTTATTTATTTTTTTTTTTTTTACAGCCGAAAGCCAATGATTTTGTACAACAGAATCCAATTACTCAACCTCTACTCGGTGGTGGCCCAGCAGGAGATTTATCCGTAAACGGTCAGTTTTATCCGACTCCGTATCCAACTTCGTATAATCAAGTTCCGCAACCGCCTGCAATGTCGGGACAGTATCAGGTTAATCAATCGTTGCCCTATCCCCAGTCGACCACAATGCCGCAACCTAATTTGCCAAAAGGAAACTCACAAAAAATAGTCGAGCCTGAACCGATAAAAAAACCCATTCCTGACGAGCATTTAATACTACAAAGTGTTTTCGATAATCTGAGAATCAAGTGCACGACAGCTGCTAATAATCCGGTATTTTTTTTATTATAAAATCTGTTGAAAGACAAACGGATGACAGTAATGGTCGTTTATTTACAAATTTTACTTTTTGTTTCTTTAAGCAATCCAAGAGAAAATTAGAAGAAGTTTCAAAGAAATTAGAAGTTCTTTACGATGGCCTACGAGAAGGACGATTATCGGCTAATACGCTTCAAGCTTTACACGTCATGGCTCAATACGTGCAAAACGGAGATTATACCAACGGTCTCATGTTGCACACACAAGTCGTGTCGGGTCCAGATTTTTCTCAAATAGCAGGGTTCATGCCGGGGATTAAGGTGTTGTTACAATCTGCGCTTCAGCTTCAAGTTTACCTTTAGTTTTAAAAAAAAAAAAAAAATATAAAATTTAAAATAGTAATTGGGACGTAAAAATATTATGCTTAAATTTAAGCATACCGAGTTTAAGTGCAATTAATGTGCTAATAAAATGATATAATTGTATAAAAGTAACACAAAATGGGGAGGCAGGGATATTTAATAATAGTATTCCCCGAAAAAAAAAAAAAAAAAAAAAAAAAAAAAAAAGTTATTTTATTTTACTAATAATAAATGTGAATAAAAAATATTATCATTTGTGAATTTTATTTAAATAATTACATAGATAATAATAATTCATTAATTATTTTTAAACTATTAAATTTTATATATTTTTATATTAATGTTATTTTAAATTAAAAAAAAAAAAACAAAATACCTGTTACGTTTACATTATCTGATAAAATATTTTCAATAATAATAAAAATAATAAATTTAATTTTAAAATAATTAAAATTTCAATTTAAGGTATATCATTTTAAATGTATAGCATTAAACAGGGAGGGATCCTGGATTTTCAAAACTAGTCATTTTATTTTTACTTACATAGTTAAAAATTTTTAAATGTCTATAAAAACTATTTAATTACACAAAACTTGTTAAAAGTCTAAAATTTCAGTCCAGATAATTTTTCCTACATAAAATAAGATTTAAATTAGTTTTTTATAACCGATAATTAAAATGGATATTATTTATAATAACCTTATTTGAAAGACAACGTTAAAAATTTGAAATTTTCATTATGAGACATTTTATTATTATTATTATTATTATTATTAGCAATGATATTATTACTTAACAGCAATTAAAATAGTTATTATATAGTATTTGAAAATAACAAACTTTGCAAAAATTAACGGTTATTGATATACCGTCGTTAAACGTTAACAAAATTAAATTGATTAAGATCCCAATTTTTTTTTTTTAAATTAAATTTAAATTTAATTCTATACATTCCAAAAATATTTTTAAATAAGGTATAATTTTCTATTAAATTATTTTTACCGGATGTCGATAAATTTATTTTTTTTAAATGTTGGTAATAAAAAGAAATGAAAAAAAAATAAAAATGGTTGTATTGATAAATTCTTACTAAAAATATTCTGGTTTGTATTAAAAAATGAATCATATTTTTTAATAATTTTCACTCAAAATTTTAAAAAAAGAAATTATTAAAATGAGTAGGAATATAATTATTTTAATTATTTCATTTAAAATTTTAATTTGACCAATTTCATTTTTAAAAAAAAAAGAAAAAGAAAAAAATTATGAGACGACGGTTTTTAATTGATTATAATTAAATTAAATTGATTAAAGATGAAAAAGAAAAAAAATTTTTTTTTTTTTTTTTCGATTTAAATATAAATTGAGTAAAAATTAATTAATTTAATTAAATTCGATTTTTCACGATTAATACACATAAATTAAAATTTTTTTTTTTTTTTTTAGATTATTACACAAACTGGCGGCTGTTGACGTAAGAAAAGTTTTATTTAATTAATTTTCAAATGAATCAATCCGGCGGCGGGGAAGAACCTTTAAAAATAATTGCAGCTAAAATTGGTGCCTTGTTAGCCATTGGCTCCGTATCGTTTTTTTGCGGTGTCATACCTTATTATTCGATAAGAGCGTTCAAAAATCGATTTCCCACGTCTATCGCACAAAAAATAACATCAGGATTTATTTGTTTTAGCGGTGGTACACTTTTAGGAGTTACTTTCCTTCATTTGATGCCAGAAGTAAGGGAACGTATATCTTATTTGCAAGAAAAACATAACGTACTAGCTTTTCCGGAAAATCTTCCTCTGAGCGACATAATTGCCATGTCTGGATTTTTCGGAGTTTATTTATTAGATGAATTATTACACATGTGCATCGAATGGTATTCCCTTCGCCTAAAAAGAAAAAAAGCGTTCAAGGCAAACAACGTTAAATGCGGTTCGAAAAAAGTATGCTCACAATTACCCCACGAAGTGAGTGTTTTTTCTTTGGATAATCATGAAAATAGCAAGCATCAATTTTCTAACAGTAGAAGGAGTAATCATCATGCTGTTTCAGCTCCGATATGTATTTGTCAATCTAAAACCGTTGCGAATGACGTTACGGAAGAAAAAGAATTGATATGTATTATACAAGAGACTAATAATAGTGATGCTAAGGGTAGCGGTATAGTTCTCAACAGAGCCGAACATGCATCGAACGTGCATTGCTTTAGCTCTCACGCAATGTCACCAGTATCGGGTCTTATAACGATTGCTGCTCTTTCTTTTCACGATATATTCGAGGGTATTGCAATCGGCATAGAACAAGATCTCAATTCAATTCTTTTTTTATATTTATCAATCGCATCCCATAAATACGCCATAGCTTTTTGCATAGGAATGGATTTAGTCGTGGCGGGTTCTCGTTTGAAAATGATAGTTCTTTCGATGATGGTATTTAGTTTGGTATCACCGGTCGGTGTTATTATCGGTACCGTTGTCGTCGCAGAAAATACATTACGTGAAAAATACGAAATTGATTCACCTGCTAGCGTCATCATGCAAGGTATTGCCGGTGGCACTCTAATATATATTGTTTGTTTTGAAGTTTTGCAACGAGAAGTCACGGACACGCATAAAAAAGGAATACAAAACGTCATGTTTGTAATTTTTGGATTTCTCGTTACGTTAGGATTTAAAATATTAACAGGACATTCTCATCCGTGACCCCATCCCCCCCTCCCCCCCCAAAAAAAAAAAAAGTATTAATTAAAACCTGTAAACCAGTAGTATTATCTCAATAATATTATTTTATCAAAATGAATAAAATTTCATTTTTCAATGTTAATATATATATAATATTATTATTATTATTTTTAATCGTCGTGACGTAATATTTTTTATATTTAACTTACGAATGAATGAATTCATTAAATGAAAACGCGTTAAACGTTTTTATTATTGCAGGTAATAAAAATTAAACAATGATTTAGTATTTAAACGCGACAAAAACAATTTTAACAAAAATTTATTTATATAAATAGTTTGTTAGTTTTTGTGCAGGTTCGTGCTTGTGATTGTTTACGTATTATTTTTACGGATCATTTAATTTTTATATATATATATTTGTCTCTAACAAATATATTTTTTTTTTTTTAATGTTTTCCAACGTACAAATTTATTATTACATTAATAAGTTATGTTGACAAATAATAAATAAGGTAAATAAAAAAATTAATTTAATTATTCGGTTTGGAAAATATTTAACGTAACAAAAAGGTTTTTTAATTTTTTTTTTTTATGTGAGAAACCTTTTTTATAAAATTCATAATCATCTTTAAAACATTGTCTTTCATAAAAGATTTTTTTTTTTTTTTAATTTTACAAAGACTAATTAACCATAAAAAAAAAAAAAAATAAAAAGAAAATTTTATATAAAAATGTTAGAAGAAAATACTTTTTTCACATTTTCTTTTTTTTTTCTCTCTCTCTCTCTCTAAAAAACAAAAAATTAGAGTTTAAACAACATGTAACAAACAAAACAAAAAAAAAACATAAAAAGAAAATCAGTTAAATAAATTTTGTTGTAGGTAGAGAAAATAAATGTAAAAAAGTGGAAAAGACAAAAGGAGGGGGAGGGGGAGGGGGAGGAGAGAAAAAAAATTACTTTTCAAATGTTATTTATGAGGAAATAAAACTTTTGAGTTTTTTTTATATTTTTTTATTTTTTTCGGAGGGAGGGGAGGGGAGATCTGGTTGATTCTTTTATTATTTATTTATTTCATTTCATTTTTTTATTTTATTAAAAACATTTAAACCTTTTTTTTAATTAAATAATAATAATAATATTAATTTTTAAGCGTGTAACAAAAATTGTATAATTTTTTAACTCTTTAAATTTTTTTTTTTTTTTAAGTGCCCCCCCCCCAAAAAAAAAAAAGAAAATTTAAAACAATATTTATTATCCTCCTTATCATTTCTTATCACATTTTATTAAAAACGTTATATTATATCCTGTCAAAAAAAATTTTCACGAATAAAATTGAAAAAAAAAAAAAAAACAGAAACAATTTTCTTTTAAATGTTTTATTTAAAACGCATGCGTTTGCATACGCACAATTACATTTTACCATATTGATTATTATTATTATTATTATTATTATTATTATTATTATCGGAAAATAAGGTTTATTATTTTGTGAAAAAAAAAAAAATTGATTTAAAAAATTTTCCAATTTTTTCATGTTAGAATCAAAAAAAAAAAAAAAAAAAAAGAAAATTTTTTGTTGTTGTTGTTGTATTACTAGTCTCATGAGATTGTGTAGAAAAAAAATAAAGTTCAAAATGATGAACTTTCCAGAAGGAAAAGTGAGAGAATGATAAAAAAAAAAAAAAAAAATTCATTATTTATTTATTGAGTCTCTCTCTCTCTCTGGGTTGTCTGCTTTTTACAAGAAAAACCAAATTTTTACAACAAGTTTTTCTCTTTCTCGGAAAACTATAAAAAATTTTATTTTTTACTCCTTTATATTTTTTTTTTTTTTTATCCTAACATAGTAAAACATTTAGTGACGCGTTTATTATTATTATTATTATTAATAAAATTAATTCGTAATGATATAAAAATTAAAAACAAACGACAAACGACGGTTGTAAAAAAAAAGAAAGAAAACTTTTCTTTTTTTTTTTTGATTAATTTATTATTTAATACATCAGCAGTGCGGGAAATTAACTCGGGTCACGAAATCATGAATCTTATTTTTTTTTTTCATAAAAAAAATCAAGAAAATCAATAATAATTTAACAGCAATAATAATAATAATAATAATTTATTTATTTATTTGCGTTAACATTTATTGTGATGCGAAAAAAAAAAATAAACTCACCTTTTACAAATTAAAAAAAAAGAAGAAGGAAAACACGTTATTGAAACTAAACAATTATCATTATTATTTTTAGAAAAATAAAATTTATGAAGGAAATAGTTAAATGCAGACATAAAAAATTATTTTTTATAAAAAAAAAGAGAAAAATCAACATAAATGACATGTGTTTCATTTATTTTTTTTTACGACGGTTAAAAAAAAAAAAAAAAAAAAAAAAACTTTCTCTGGAATCAATCTTTTAGTCTAGCACGTAATAAAAATTGATGTCCTTTTTTTTTAAAACTTTTTAATTCATTTATTTATTTTTTAACCCTGAAACGTTAGACTAACGTGTGCGTGTGTGTGCGTGTGCGTGTAACCGACATCCGGAATAGATTTAAAATGTGTAAACCAAATTAACGATCGATGTCGGCTAACGGATGTGTCGGTTGTTATTTATTTATAAACTTATGAAAAAAATTTTTATTTGTTATTGTTTACGAAGCAGAAGACGCAAAACGACGCGTTTTACCGAACCGAGTATCGTTCGCGTGTGTAAATAAGAAAAAATTTTCTTTTAAGATTCGGTTATAAAATTAGGTGACCTAATATTTCAAAAAAAAAAACAAAACCGTTTTTTTTCGACCAGACGAAAGCAGTAGAAAAAAAAAAAACTCGATCGTGGAATTCGATCAATCGAATATCGAATGAAAAAAAGAATGAAAAAATTATCCCCATAGCGGATTGAATCGGCGGTGAAAACGGCGGCGCAAAGAATCCGACCACTCGAATGACAATGAAATCTTTACGCTTTAGCATTTGATGCCGGTGTTTCGCGGTGTCGGTTTATCTTTTTACACACACTTATAGAAATTTTCCGATTCGATTTTATATTAATAAAAACATACATATATAGTTATCACGTGATTTTATTTATTTATTTATTTATTTATGTAATTCGTGTTTGTCGCGGGATTTTTTTTTTTTTATTTTCTAATGCAAAAAAATTTGTGATAACGGATATACGAAAAAAAAAAAATTTAATGTAAGTTTAATTTTTAATATTTTTTATAGTGAATATTATATATATTTCTCGAGAAAAATAACAAGTTCCTCCTACATCCCCCACCCTCCCCACCTTACTCCCTCTTTTCTCATTTTTTTTCGTCGAATTTTCCGACAAATTTTAACGGTTTTTTTTTAACTTGTAAATTCGTAACCGGAAATAGAAGGAAAAAAAAAAAACATTTTAATGTTGACTTTGTGTTTTTCACTCGCTTAAATTTTTTTTTTTTTTTTTTTTTTTTATATTCAAATTTTTCTTCGAGAATATTTTTAATCATTTCCAATAATAATAATGATAATAAATTACAAGACGGTTTTTTAAAAAACGTTAAAATCATATTAAAAAAAAAATTACGAAAAGTAATTTGTCTGTAATTAATTATTCATTACACTTCGTGATAATATTTAAATATTCCATCTGTATATAAAAAAAAAGGAGAAAACGTAATGATAATAATAATAATTATAATAATAATGATTTACGTGTAAAGAAAAATTTTGATTGTTAACTATTTATTAAATTTCAATTATTTCTATTGTTAAACGTGGAAAATTAATGACGATGAAAAATTTATTTATTTATTTATTTATTTATCATCGTAAATTATTTTCCACGTATGGAAAATTCAAATAGGAAAAATTAAAATTTATTGTTATGTAAAAAACCATAAGTCAAATAATAATAATAATAATAGAAAAACGAATGAAATTTTCCTTTTTCTTCACACAGTCAGTCAGTCATATTGACGCCATTTTGACGAATGTTTTTTTTTTTCTTATGCGACAAAAACTTTTCTTAATTTTGTTTTTAATAAATAATAATAATAATAATAATAATAATAATAATAATAATAATAATTATCGAATTATACTTATGTAAGAGGTCGGTAAAATAAAAAAAAAAAAATTTTCATTTTATTAGTAATGTTTTTCCGGGGTTTCGTTAGGAAAAGTGTAGGCGGTCATAAATTTATTTAGTTATTGAAATTCAATAAAATAAATTTTTAATATTCATTTTCCCAATTTATTTTTTACCATTCATCAAAAAAAAAAAAAGCAATAAAACTGAAATGGAAAAGGATGAGAAAAAAGGTCAAAGGTTAAAACTTATACCATAATCAAAATTATTATTATTAATATAATTTTTTTTTTTTTTTTTTTGAAATATAATTCTGACACTTTACATGATGAATTCTATAAAAAAAAAAATTACTAACGCTTAATTTATAAAATTATTATTATTATTATTTTATAACGACGTAAAATATTATTATTATTATTATTAGTTTTCGAATAACGAATTCCGGTTAAAAAAAATAATAAAAATCATTTTTACATTTATTGGCAAACTTTATATACATATTTTTTTTTCTCATTTCCTTTATTTCACCCCCCGTCCCGGTCCCTGTCTCTGCCCCCTCTCCTAGCCCCTTCCGAAAAAAAAAGTTAATAAATTATTAAAGTAAGCAAACGTTAAAAAAAAAAAAAAAAAAAACGGTTGGAAATAAAGGCAAGAAATTTATTCTCGTGAGATTATTTTTGTACACGATCGGAGAGAAAAACAAAAAAAAAAAAAAACTTTTAAAACTAACTTTTTTCTTTTTTTTTTTTTTTTATTTACGATTCAACAAACAGAAGCAGAAGAAAAAAAAATAAGGATAAAAAAAAAAGAAATTTTTCCGTTTTTCGAATTTTTTTTTTCGTTTTTAATTAGTTCTAAACCGTTTAACGTAATTTTAAATAATATAATATAATAAAAAACCGTTAAAATGATGACGTCAATAACCGTCGTCTGGTCCTTCTCTCTGAATATTACGTAACATCCGCGTTTGTTTTTTATATTATTACGTAATTAATTATACATTATAAATCCTTTTAAATAATACCGACCCCCGAATCAATATATATATTTGAAAAATTCAAAGTTTTAACGAACTTTCAAATAATAATAATAATAATAATAATAATAATAATAATAATACTTGAGAAAATTGAAGGAAAAGAAAATGAAAGGAAAAAAAAAAAAAAAGAAAACGAAGGAAAACATAAATAATTGGAATTTAATTTTGGACGATTCTTTCGGTATTTTCACGGCACGTTTTCCACTTTTTCATTTTTTTTTTTTTTTTTTTATTTATTTTCCATTTATTATTTTTATGTTCCCCCTCCTCTCTCCCCTTCCCTCCCATCACTCCACCCCCTCCCCTCTCCATTTATTTTTTTAATAATAATTTAAAAAAAAAAAATTTATTTATTAATTTATTTTCTTGTACGTTTATTAGAAAAGTGTTTGAAGGTTGTCGCCGCGTTTGGAAAATACAAATAATTTTGTTTAAACAAAATAATAATAATAATAATAATAATTAAATGTGTTTTGTTGTTAGAAACAATTCATGTAAAAACCGAGATAAGTTTTTCCGAGTTAAAATATATATTTATTTGTTAGTAAGAAAAACCATTAAAGGTCGTTTCCTTTTTCAGGTCAGGTAGATGAATGGTTTTTGTGGTTTTTTTTTTTTTATTCTAAATTTTTACTCATTTCTAAAAAAAAAAAAAAAAAATTATTGACCTCAGATTAAATTTTCTTTAAAAGCAGAAGACAAAAATATATAATGTATTTATTTTACTTTATATTGTTATTATTATTATTAAAAATTTTCTTTTTTTTTTATCGATGACGCCATAATTAATTTATATAATTTTTTTTTTTTTTTACATTGAGGCTAACGTTTGTTTGGTTTTACGACAATAACGATTACATACTATTATTATTATTATTATTAGTATTTTTCCGATGATTTCCGGTAAAAAATTATTCGCGGGAAAATTTAAAAAAAAAAAAAAAATTAAAGTTTTTTATCAAGTTATGTAATTTGAATTTGACCCATTAAAAAATTTTTTTTTTTTTTTGGGTTAAGCTCGGAAAATTTTTATAAATTTTCCTTTAAATTGGATTCGAAATGAAAATTTTTTTTTTGTTAATCACGTGATTACTATTTATTTAATGTCTGTATTATTACACGTGTGACAACAAACAACCCAAAAACGTTACGTCATTTTTTTTCAAAAAATTTATTAATAACGTTTTTTTTTCGGGGGAAAATTTTTTTTTTTTATTGGAAACCAATAAAATAATAATAATAATAATAATAATAATAATAATAATAATAATATAATTTTTTAAAAGGATTATTATTATTATTATTTTTTATTAAAAAAAAAACTTTGAAGTTAAGAATTTTTTTTTTTTTAACGTAACTCACCTTGATCGTTACGGAAGAAGAAGAAGAGAGAAAAAATAACATAAAAAAAAAAGAAAAGCGTGGAAAACTGCAAGGAAAAGCTTTTATGACGAGTGGCAACGACCTGGCAAATTTACTTTACGACATTTTTTGACTTTAGCTAAGCTTTATACTCAAAAGTTATATTCAACTTTTTTTTAACCTTTAACCTCTGACTTTTAAAAGGCAAAAACTTGATTTTTTTACTTATTTAGCCTTCCCGAAATTTAATAAATTTTTTTTTTTTAAACCCGAAATAATATATGTACGATACCTTTACGGTTTCTACCTTTAATTGTTTATTTTATCCTTAACAATAATAATAAACAATTACAAGGTCAAACGAATTTCATTCCTTTTTCGTCCTCGTTGAACAAAATTCGCACAAGTTTGAACTTGTTTAATAAACGAAAAATTTTTTTTTCTTTTTCCAGGAAAAATTTAAATTTAAAAGAATATTAATTTTAAAATAAACGAGTTAAAATGAGTGATAGCTTATTTAGTTCTCCTGCTAAAAGCTTAGGAGATAGAAGTGTGGGTGATCCAAATTCTCTAACGGATTCTGAAATCACAGAATCCGAATCTGAAGTGTTTGAATTGACATCTGAAGTACCTGGAATTCCAGATCAGACCGTTGTTGATGGTTGGGTTAAATTTAGAGACAATAAAAGGGTGAGTGTTTTTATTATTATTATTATTATTTATAATTAACACGAAAATATTCAAAAATTTAATTAAAAATAAATTTTTTATTTGTACGCAAAATAAATTTAAAAGGTTTTCTTTTTTTTGTTGTTGTTGCTGTTGCGGTTTTAAGCCGAGGAGCATGCAGTAAATTTTTTCAAGTTAATAATAATAATAATAATAATAATAAAATATATATTTATTGCAACATGGTATAAATCATCATTATGAGTTTATATAAACGCCATTTTTATTTTTTTTTTAAAATTACCCTTTTGAACTATAATTAATAATTTTTAATTAAATAAAGGAAAGATATATAATTATTTGAA